GCATAGTCACCCTAAGGTGTAAAGGGGGAAGTTGATGTTACCAGCCATTGAAGACTTTTTGCAGTTATGGTAAAACCAAGTGCCCAAATAAATATGAGATAGATGGGACAAGCTGAGCTACAGTAGATTTTAAATCCAACCTGAGGCTCTGGAGGCCTCATCCTCTAAGTTGCTGTGCCTCCTCCTACCCCATCCCTGAGTTCATCCCCTGTTTTTTTACGGGAAATCACTTGACAGCTGGGGGGATTAAATGCCATGAGCAGCTCAGGAACAGCTGTCCAGTACAGTAACCTCCTTGCTGTCCTTCCTCAGAGCACTTGTGACCCCATGCCAAATCATTCCGAAACCATCAGCCACACTGTGAACGTGCCCCTGCAGGCCACCCTGGGAACGCTGGAAGAAATAGCTTGCTGACACCTTCCTGACAGCTCTGTGGTGCGAAGACCTAACAGAAGGAATCTGCACAGGAAAGCAGGGATCAAGCTCAGGTTTGCAACTGGGGGGAAAAGAAAATTGCTATGCATATATATATATATATATATATATATATATATAATCTCTTTGGCAAAACCAAGTGAGAGACACCTTGGACTTGACTTGCGTCATCCTTTCCTGTGGGGGATCATCTTCAGGATCTGAAGACACAGCTTATTTTTGAACTGTACAAACAACCAACAACACCAATAAAACAACAAAACCACCATTTCATATACTGCCAAATGTATAAAGCACTTGCATGCTGATACTTTTTATGGCAATATATTCCTATCTGTCTTTATAAGCTCTGTTCCTCTTTACAGCCTCTGATTTTCACTACCAAGAAGGAATTTGCAGGCCCAGCCATCCCCAAAATCACCATTACTAATATCGTAGCTGAATTAGAATAAAGAAACAAACAAACTTGCAGCTCTTGGACTCTTGTTACTTTCTTGTCCTTCATGTCAGTTGGTAAGGAATCTTAATCTATGCCAGGTCCCCAGAGGGCTATGCCATAGCCAACCCTCTTAGTCGCTATGGTGAGCAGCCCAGGGCAACACATGACTGACCCAGATATCACATACCATGGCTATTATGTTGTACTACTTAGTCTGTAATGTAGCCTTTATAATCTGTCTTTGGAGGTGTGAGCAGATGAAAGTGCAGGGGGGTGGAGATCAGTTGATTTTATTTTTCATTAATTTATTATGCACTTGCCTCATTATCATGAGTAGTATTAAATCTGGTCTTGTGCAAATGGCCAGATCATGTCATTTCTGCCATGTCTGCCCCTGTACCAGCATTAGTTTGGGCTAGACAGGCTTATGGAACAGCTTGGCACTGTCTTAGTACTCTACTTCACAGGTATCCTCTAAGGCAGGCAGTCCCTGCTGCCTTCCCCAGTGAAGGGATCCACGGGTTTATCTTCACACTCATTGAGCTGCTGATCTCGGACTTGCCCCTTCCCTCAGGACTTGTCAGTCGAGCATCTCCCTGATCTACCAGAGAGGGGTCTGGGATTTTATATTTATTCAGCCTGTGAAAGCTTTGGCTATTAGGCAGTAATTACATCAAGGGGTGGGGGGGGAACTTGTTTTTCTCCAGCACTGAGAGCAGCATGTCCCCCATATTCCCAAAGCATCCACTGCTCCCCAGAAAGGCCAATTTCATCAGGCAACAGCTGCACATGTAGCATGAGTGGAGAGGCCAGCACCCTATTTGGGACTGTGGTGGTTTTTCTGCTGTTTTTTTCTTCCCTGTGCCCAAACCCAGGCATACATGTGTGCATGCAGACTTCCCACGCAGCTGTGTCCCACTGAGGGAGGATTGCCTATTATTTGCCTAGAAGAACATCTGCCTTGTTAATACTACTGTAATAACAGCTTTTATTTGGCAGTGTCACCCTCTTTCTGCGGGTCAGATGCCTTGAAGATGTTTCTCAGTTCAGAGCCCCAGCAGCAGGGAAGGCTTCCTTTGAAGAGGGGTTGGAAAGTGAAGGCTATTTTGTTCAGCATGTTTCACTCTTCCACATCCTCCTGTCCACATCTTTCCACCCCAAGACATATGCAGCCACCTCTTCGCTTTGCAATAGGTTTGATAAATTGGCAGTAAATAAAAGTTTTGACCCTGCTCATTTGGACTTTCAGCTCTCCGAAAGTCCCACTGGGTTCAATTTGTATAGCCAAATGCTGCAAGTAAAATACATGATAAATAACTTGGTGAATATCAGTAGGAAAGGCTGGGTTCTCAGCAAGTAAAAACTGTCCCTTGCTCAAATTAGCATCAGTGGGGTCACACCAGCTTAAACCAGATGAGGTGCTGCCCTGGAGTCACATGTGCTGTTAGAAGCAGTTGGTAATGCTCAATTCCTAACCAGCTCCAAAGTTTTTTTCATTTTCCACATGGTACAAAAATGTAACCCCTGATTCCACTGATATCTGGGAGCTAAGTAAAACTCCTATCCCTGCTGCATTTCCAAGAAGCAGTGATTGTATATACATACACACCCAAGGGATTCTGCTCACTCACCCCTGCAGGCCAGGTTACTCCAGCAACACACAGTATCCATGATATTCTCTCTGGAAAGGCCTGTGTATTCTGCATCATGGACTGTTTTGAGCATATTTTTCCTGCAATCCAAACACACCCCTTTGTTGAACCATTTCTTTTGTACATCAACAATGTGGCCTCCATCAGAGTCTTATTTGTCAGTGACCATATGTTCAAAGAGAATCGTGTACCTTGTCAAAACGCTATCATGTGTTAGAACTTTCCACCAATAAAGAGAGAAAAAGTGAATTTCACAAAGATCCAAGTGCAGCTCTTTTTATTAGCTCAGACAAACCAAGGTGCGGATGGAGTATACTCAGGTTGGATCTATATAGGAACAATTGTGGGAACACAGATAGGGAGGGGAACCCTACTGACTGGTGAACTGATTTTGCCTCATATTCAGAAGTAAAAATGTTTCATTAACACTTTGCAAAACACACAGTACCCAGAAAAAGGACCTGCCATCTCTCTTGTCAATACTTCTATTGCCTTGAATGACTGTTATATATGAGCACACTGCCCTCTGAAATATATTTCCATGTGCAGCCCCCTGTGATGTAGGGCAGTGCTTTTTGCTCATTGTTAAGGGCAGGTAATAGAGCCACGAGAAACTATGAACTAGATCCACAACAGAGCTTTGATGTAACAACATTCAGTTCTCTAGTATCTAACTTGCAGGGTAACTAAGAAGATATCAGGTCCAGTTTTTTAGGCCTGTCGCATAGGACTGGTGGGCCATGCTCCACTGAAGATACCATGTTTGATCATGAACAAGTCATTCAGGGCCAGAGCCAAGATAGCACTTGGAGGCCTTCAACTGCAGTGCTTAACACTTACGCCACAGCTCCAGAGTGGAATCCAGTACCCTGTGTGAGGCCACAAGGCTCCCCATGCAGCTCATGGAAAAAGTTAGGTGCCAAAGAACAGCAATCCAAAGACTACACACTGAATAAGGAGGTGCCAAGAGCCATTAGGACAGAGGGGCATCTGAGTACCAGCCTCCCAATGTGGGATGCAGAGAGCTGGCTTCATCCTCTTTGGTATCCACAACCCTTCGGTCAAAGGACTGAACAGGGCTCATTCCTTTCTTTTAAAATAGTTGCCTTCTATTCACTATCCTAGTGGCTAGACTGCTGGCCCAACAAACGAGAGAAGTCCAGGTTCAGCTCCCTGGTGGTGCCAGCTGGAGGTCTGGTCTTTCCTTTCTTCCTTCTCATGTCCTTGTCACAAGGTATTTGCAGGTTTGTTGGAATCTGATATGGCTGTGTCATGAGCCCTTCTGCTATAGCCAGGGCTGAATTAACCTTTTAGTGGGCCCTAGGCAAACAAACTCATGGGCTCCCAGCTGAAGATGAAATGTTTATATTACTTTTTTTCACTCATTAATTATAGTATGTAAAATAAGCACAACTGGGCCCCTTCTTCACTAGACATGTGCTTAGTTTGCCTATGCGTTAATCTGGCCCTGGCTGTAGCCTCAAACTCACAGCCTCTAAGCTGTCAACTCTGCACCTTAGCACCACCCCAGCCCCCAAGGTGTCTGTTGAGGTAAGGAAAGTCCCACTGTGGGCATGGAATTCATCTATTCTATGGATTTGTCCTTTCTCTAGATTGCTGTGGCTGGCAGGATATCAATCAATGGTACTGCTCTTGCTAGCCATGTTCCTATGTGCAACCCCAAGCCCACTATGGCCAATACTATAAAGAATAGCTATAAAATTTAGTTGTAGGCTGCTCAGCCATCTGCTGCACAAGCCAGGCTGTGCCAAGGGCAACAACTCTCCTCTCCCTGCTCTGGATTTACTCCGTGTGGTTTATTCATCAGACAGCAGAATGGGTTTCAAATTCCATTTTCAGATACTGGGGACAGGGTGGTCTATGCTATGCAAGCAGCAACTCCCACCTGCTCCACCTGCTGAATTATGGTGTAAGTAACCTGGACTTACTGCAGAGAACAGTACACCCAGCACTACTTAGCCAGAGAGAGGGCACCTTCAATGGCCAGCATGCACTCATAAACAATAAGGGGAAGTGGCAGAGAATCTATGCCCATCCCAGAAGTCTTATGGGCCCCTGTTGAAGCCTGAGGAGCAGATTGCCCCAAAAGAGTAGTCAGTTTCTAGATGAGATGATCAATTCCTGGTCATCACTTGTTCTGGAATACAGCTAAACCATTGATTAGTACTGTACAATATAAAGACACAGCAATACTCTCTTGCCATTTTTAGGAGGAATGCCCAGAGGTTCAGATGAAATATTGAAGTTAGGGAGATGAAAAAGGCTTGTCCACAGTGGCAAACCTCATCCCCAAGGATCACCAACTGATCCATGGGACTGAACCAGACGATGCACTGATAGAGCAGGCATGCACACTAAGCCACTGCACACCCACACACAGACACACCTGAAAATACTCAAGACCATTGGCAGATGTCCCAAATGCAGAGAGCTTTTCAAATCCTAATCTCCTCTGACACCTCTGCAAAGGCCCCTGTCACTTCAAGAAGGAAAGGGCAACTGAAGAAGCATATAGGCAGGAGTCCCAAAGCAAGTGGCTCTGTAATAGACAATAGGCAATAGGCAGAGTCCAGGGATATAATCAAGGGAATAATGCAGGTGGCAGTAGATGAGAGAAGGTTGCCTATTTAGCCAGGGTAACACACCTGTCACTGGTCTGAGAGGCACTTTACTGAAAGGGCTGAAGCTCTGGAAGTATAAATCCTGACTCCTGAGCAAGACCAGGTAGTTTGTTCCTGGCTGCTGGAGTGAACGGTATTCCTGCCAGTCTAAGAGTGAAAAATTCAGACCCAAGAAGGTTCCCCTGAAGGCTGGGAAGGATGCAGCAGTTTGCAGATAAGGTCTTTACAGCAGTTAAGAGACCCACTGTGGGGTTTGTGCTCAATTTGGAAACTAGTGAGTTGGTATATTTTTTCCTTTTGGCCAGAGGCTAGGTCAAATTTTGAGTATTGTAAAACTGTCTTTCTTTACCCCCTACACACATGTAGAAACTGCAGTAGAGTCAGAGTTTGGAAAAGGAAGCAAAAACGGTTTAACCATACAAGAAGACCTGCTTCTGATGAGACTTTCCAGTCTCCAGGTCAGTGACCCTATTTGAATTAAATTTCCAGTGAATCAAGCCCTTTAGTTATGTCTGTGTCTAGTTTAGGTTCATTGAACAAGCTCGGAAACTCTCTAAAATAAGTGGAGGAATATGTTTCCTACAGAAATTGCACTTTATCTTCCCTGTGAATTGCATTTTTTTTGCTTTGTGACAGGGGTCAAACTCAGGGCCAAGTCTCAAGTTGGCCTGTCCACCTGTCTACGTAGGGCAGTCCACCCAGCCTCGCCTGCCACAACATTGCTATTAGACTACACTGGTGGTAAATGTGGGAGGCTGGCCATTCTATGTCCTGATGCCAGGGGGCACTGTCCATGGCTCTGTACCTCCCCTATACAGTGGCCCACGTCTCACAAATGGCATCCAAGATGTTATCATACTCCTGGCCACAAGCCAGACCAAACCTAGTCCTCCACCAGGTGTCTCTCTCTCTCTCACACACACAAACACACACACACACACACACCACCTGCCTATTACAGGGGCCTCTCACACTCCACCCTCTCACAGGGTTTCTTGCTCACTGCACCATACTGTGCCCCCTCCACTCTGCCTTGCTCTCTCCTGGAGCGACCCTTCTGGCCATCAGGCTTATCTGAATCATGCCTCGGCTAGAGACATGCAGTCTCTTGGGCCTCTCCCACAACCCTCACCTGAGTAGTGCCAATTAATTCACCAAATGGAGGGCCGACTTCCCCCTAGTCCCTCACTGGGATCCTTATACACAACACCATAATTCTGTGGTGGGTTGGCCTGTGTGCTGCCCTTCTGGCCATCCCTTCAGACCTACTCAACCCCGGATTATGCCCAGTCCTTCAGGTTGTGAAGATACACCCTACTCTGAGTGGGCCCACCTACCCCCCTGCTCTCAGGGTCTCTCAAGTGGTCTCTTCTCTGGGGCCACACAACTGCCCCCTCTCTGGGACCACACAACCATTCCCTCCCCAGGGCCTCTGGGGGTCTCGAACCCCTGTGGCCTCAGTTGCCCGCAGCAATGCCTGGCCCCACTTTTCTCTCTTAGTAACCCACCCAAAGGTGGGGGCTGGGCTTTAGGCGCCCCAACCCACCTTACACCAGGGAGGTTCACAGTCCTGGTATTTAAGTGGGGCTACCATGCCACCGGCTGTCCCACCAGGCCTCCCTATCCCTGCAGGGTACAGTTTCAGGTTGGTCATGTCCAGGACCGCTGAGGCCTCCTCCGTCCCCATAGCCTCACCCTTACCTCCAAGGTGTTCCAGGAGCAGCTTAGCCCAATGTTGGCTGCTTCAACACAGACTGCTGCCTCTCTGGCCCCTCAGGCACCAAACGTGCACTGCCACACTTTCCTTTTCATCCCCGTTTAATTTTTACCCTGGTTCGCAAATAACAGGCAAACAGTGGTCTTGAAATGACTTTTCAAAATGTTCACAGAAAGTTTCTGCTCCATTTCCCCCTGCCAATGAAATATTTTACTTTC